GACAGATACAAAGGCCAATCGGCAAGGAAATACTTGAGGAACAAGAGGGTTTTAGGAAATTTCCCCAGAGAACAAAGTGAACATCATTTTGCCCTACTCCGATAGACACAAATAAGACCACACTCCCACACAAATGTTTTTCACGAGCACCATAAAGGCCTTGAGAAAAATTGCACAAATTCCAATGTCACAATAAACTTTTGCACCTAATGATTGGAAGGGAAGATGAAATAATGTTTATAGAAAACACAGTCCTTTCCGTAATGCAATATGGTAGCTAATGAGTGATTTCTTGATGTTCAAAAAATATGAACTACTTAAAAATAAACAAACTACTCTCTATCACTATACCAAGTTGAGGAAACAAGAAATATGCAGGGTTCCTAACCAGAAATGCAATACAGAACCTGCAAAGATTCAATTCAATTAATGCATCTCAGTTCATTTTTCTTACTGCCTGACCAAAGTAACATTCTAGAGAATTCACGAAGATAAAGAGCTCTAGAAAATGATCTGAAGCAAAAAATTTTTAGGTAAATTACATAAACATCATTTATCTGAACCAATCTCTCAAAGTTGGTATAGCATTAGCAATTGTATCTTTCATAGAACTTACAAATTTTTCAGATGTTTCAGGTTGTGACCTGCTAATATTTTTTATAATAAAAAACTTTCAAAATTAATATCCATAAGCTTCATGTATCTAGTTAACAGTGATTTAATAAACACATACGTAACAAGTGCAGAAATTAATTTCTGTTTGTGTTATCAGAAAAGTGACTGGTGAGTCCTAATTTGAGATAGTTTAAAACTAGATTCCACAGAGATGTATTGTTTGAGATACTCGTAAAAGTGTATGGTATTCTTTTATCAATTTTCTATTGTCTGTGAGAATGAAGGCACCATGGAATGCTATAGCCAAATCGTTCACCAATTTATTGCAACATATATAGATGTAAGTAGATTTTACAAAATTGATAGAGAATGATCTTGATCCATACTTGTCAAGTGTATGAAGGTATTTATCATATATGAGAAAATGAAGCCGATGGCATGAAGAGCCGGTGAGCGCATCAAACAGATTGAGGACAGTTATTACATCTGAAACAGCAACACAAACAGGAGCTATCCGTGCAAAAGCCTCTGGCCCAACAGTTTTCTTGTCATCAACCTGGAAAAAGTGAATCTATATGTGATGCATACTTGCCTTGATTTGTCACAACTAATATCTGCATCTAAGAATTACCCAACCTCAAAAAAGATATCACAATTGTTATCATAGTGCTTTGTTGCCAGCCAAGCACTCCATTAGATGAATGCTTACACGCATAAAGAAAAAAGATCACCAAGAAAAACCTGTACAGCCATATTTGTAGAACTTGAATAAAAGAGGGACCACCCATCCTCATCCTCTGCATCCTGGCTACTGCAAGAAACAGTTTCCTACACTTGAAACAATGGTCAGACAGAGTTGTTAGGCGCTTGAAAGCCTAAAAATGCCATGGCTCTATCCTTCAGATGTTCTAACATCAGAATATATGCCTTTATTAAGTAACTCCGATATGGCTTACAAATATCAACAGGTAATAATGATTAGCTGTCTTACTTTGTGTTGTGATTCACTCTCAACACTAGGAGATTCCCATGCAAGCATCATGTCATATGTCAACCGACGGAACTCCGGGTCACTCAAATAATCAGGATGTCTCATCAATTGATGGATTGCCTGAAATGAGCAGAACTCTAAAAAGTTCCTAGCATAGGTAAAAAGTTGCTTAACACTTTCAGGCAACTCTATATCAAAATGATGCTGTAATTCTTGAGTAGGGACTTTAAGAATCCTGCAACAGCGTTGGTTGTGGTTAAAGGCATCAAATTATTAGTTCAACATGTTCCAGGCATATACTTTCACCAATTCAAGCTATATACTCAACAGATATACATAAACAGGTTTTGCATTTTCCTAGTCAATTGTTTAGAATTTGAAAACTCAATGAAGGCAGAACATTCAGATAGTCAATTGAGTGGAAGGATGTCTTGTTTTGCTCCATGCTTCATAAAATAGAGCGCCAAAAATCTTCCCATCTCCAAAAGAGGAAACAAAAAGGAGAACAGTAGTTCAAAAATGGAGTTCAGCACAATAACTAGTAAACAAGAATCTAAGCTGAAGTTCAGGTTCGACCATCTGGTATCCAATGAGATGCCTATAAGAAATTCCATCTTAGACATGGAATCCAACAGGTTACCGATTCTTCAATTATTTCACATAATAAAAAGATGTCTACTTCTGAAACTCCTTTTTCTTCCTTGAAGGAGAAGCAGACAGTTGAAATAACCAACCCAAAATTCAGTATGCTTACCAGAGAGCAATATCAACAAACTAAAAGGGACGTTAAATTGATCAATTAACGAAAGATAAGCTGACACAGGTAAATTTGAAAGCAGAAGAAGAAAAATTCCCATCGAGAAGAATATAAAAGAAATAAACACACAAAGAGAGCTTTCAAATCGCAATCATTATACAACAGCGTTTAAGCATCAGAGATAACTGTTAGTGCATCAGATGCAAGTTTGCATGATGATGAAGAGACGTGAAGATTACTTGGAACATCGAGACACGACAGAGTTAGCAATGGGGGAAAGCTGAGGAATGGGTCTCGGGGAACTGGAAGATGCACCATCTTTTTCGTTATCAGCTGATGATTTCTTACGCTGAAAGAGGGATTTAATTGAATTTTGGTGGATTCTCATGAAATTCTCCCACATTCCTGTCTTCGCGCCACTATCCTCCATCTCAGTTTCGATTTTGATCACCGCAAACAATAATTGGCTATACGCTCGATGAATTAATAGAAAGCAAATGAATCTTTCTGAGAATCAGCTAACTGAAGAATTCAGATGAGGAAAACAAAAATTCATTGAAGCCCAAACGTTACTATGATATAAGAGAATTCTTGTCCATTTGCTTTGCATCTGCATTTCTTCCATGTTTTTTCCTTTTCTTTTTCTCTGTTCCCCAGGCTACTTTCTCTCGCTAGCAGTTATCTACCTGGCAGTTGTCATGGGGACCAATTTGGTTGAACCGAACCCGAACCCGAAACCTAACCCGAAAAATTGCAATTTCCAATCGTGTGGGCGTTTGTGTCTCTATTCAGAGTCCAAATGTTAAAATACCTAAATATTCTTCTAAAGAACAAGAAACGTTATTATTTTAATTTCTCTATTTTATTACAATTGAATTTTTAAAAAGTTTATCAAATTACATGGAAATGCAATTTTTTCTTATTACAAGCGAAAAAATCTTATGAAAAAATAAAGAAATTTATTCAACCTTAATTTAATTAAGCAATTAAAAAAAAAAAGAACAGCAGGAACACAAGGCATGTTGAAAAGTGATTTAAGGTCAATTTTTTTAATAATCTAAAATATCACCTCTTTACAAACAATTTGTTCTTATAATTAATATAACAGCCCTAGAAATTTAAAAAGAAATACATATAATAATCTGAGTGCGGAAGCGAAATAAAAAATTACTGATTAATATCCCTTACACAATAATTTAAAAGTACTAAACATATTACAGAATAAGTTCTTTGAAAGAAATTCGATAAATGAGAAAAATAAAGGAAACCATAAACCATTTAGCATCTATTCGCAGTCTTCTTGTGGATCGGGTTCGAGAACCAAGTCTTATTGATCTGAAATGTTTAAATACGGAATGAGGTACACTAGCCCAGTAAAGCCATCCCACTATACCACCGTTCCAGAAGTAAAGATTGGTTGAAAACAAAAAATAACTAATGGAGCATAAATTCTAAATCAATCCATTTGGTTAAAAAAAAAAATTATTT